TTTTAGAAAACATTAAGTTAAAGAGTTGTATGTAATTACTCTTGCTATGCGTTTTAAAATTATTTATCCTGACAAAGCATATCATATGACCCATTTCCTCTTCTATCATGTGGGTTGGAACAACTGATACTGTGTCATCATCATAATTTATAAGCCATAGTATCTGACATCGTGGTAACTTAAACAAAAAGACATTAATCCGATGATCTGATCAAGATCATTACATTGCATAACACTATCAAAAACCCGTCCCGTGTGAATCTCCCTTTAAGATTTGTCTCTCACTATTACGTCACGTTTTATTTTAATCCATCGGTTATCGAATTGATTAGTTACCTCATTGTGTGTCTGTTGATCCGGAACTTTGGAAAAAACCGATAAAAAACCGGCTACCAGTAAATCACGGGTCTTATTGAAAAAACCGATTGGCAACAGATTTTGCAAAGTCTTCTTATTGACTTTTGTAGTGTGATACTTGTTAACTTGGCAATCAAATCAAATATTATTTTTGCAAGAATGTTAAAGACTTACAAAACGAGCTCTTTGATTCAACACAAACATAGATTTACGCATGAGATTGGTGGCATTTCAATACGGGTTTGACACAGCCTAGAATTTGGTGTTAGTGCTAGATTTATTAGTTGAGTGTCAATTCATAATACTGACTCGAGACTCGTATTTCTGTTACAAGACAAACGAAATTCGATTCGGTTACAACTCAGAGATCGATTGGTGCAATCTTAATAATATTATTCTGTGATATTACCGTCACCTAACTCGGGCTTTAATATTTTTCTTGAGCTTCAACAGAATTTCAAACTTTTTTTGTACCTAAGTATTTAGCTATGTGCCTGTTTCTTTCTTGGCTCGGGGTTCCTTTTTCAAATCGTTTTGAAACGAGACCGCCGCCGTAGGCTAGTCATAAACTATGCAGTCTAGTTTGCCGTGCAGAGAGATTTGTCAAAAGTCAAACGAAAAAAATAAAAAGTTGTTACTGGCAGCAAATAATACTAAACATAAATAAAATTGAGGTAAAAAAATATAAAGTAGAGATTCTAGAGCCTACCAATGGTAGTCCTTTAATAGTTTAATAGTCAGATCCTTGAGGGATAAACGCATCAGTGCTCTCCCTTTGATATTATAATCTAGAAGTTATCTAATCTATCGAGCATCAGGTGAATAGCCTGTGCAATGTGCATTTATGCATAACATTAAGATTACGTGATTGGAAATTAAATTAGAAAATAAAGGTAATAATAATTTACATATTTTTGCATCTTAATGCACAATGAGTCGACCACAACGTTTTAAAGAGAGCTGATAATGTCTAGGTGAAAAAAACAGCCTTATGTAGCCCCATTACTTTCCCTGTCGCCTGATTGGAGTGATTTAAAAAAAAATACAGTCGAACATATTATAACCTCCTCCTTTTTTGAAGTCGGTTAAAAACCATAATATCCCGTAATGAAAGATAGCAGGGGTAGGGGTGATGTAGCTAGAGAAAAGACGTCACTAGAAACAATTTTTTGTTGCAAAATCGCTTGTGTTTTAATCACACAAGATACCACAGTGTTTCCTCGATGAGCCGTCATATTTACCTGCCTTATTAAATCACCACATAGTAATTTAATAGCCTGTTTAATTACCCCACAAAGAACTATTAGACCGTATTTTTATTGACAGCAAACTGGCATAAACAAATAAATCAACGTGTTAGGAAATGTGCAATCTTGTCTTTCAAATTATTTTGCGATTTTCAACTTTATGCTCATAGATATAAATAGAAAGAAAGAAAGAAAGAAAGAAAGAAAGAAAAATTATTTATTTGACAACTAAAAAGCACAAAAAACAACGAGGCGGAGAAAAAAAAAATGTTGCCAAAGAGGTCACCCACTCAGTATTATCTTGACAGTTGACATTTTACTGCCAAGTGCCAAGACACTGGTTTTCAGTGGGTGCCTTGTACGCAGGGGCAAAAAAAAATATAATAAGATAAATTCAAATTAATTAAAATTCACATTGAAATAAAATTAAAAATAACAATTACAATAAAATTTAAAAAAAAAAGAACAATACAATAACTAAAATTTTAAATAAACATGTCCAAAAATATATAAAAATTAAAATTCACAATAAAATAAAAATTACAATAAGAATAAAATTAACAAAATTAACAGAAAAAAACAAAAAACAAAAAACAATACAATTAATTTCAAATAAACATGTCAAAATAAATTAAAATTCACATTAAAAAATAAAATACCAAATTAACGACACAGACAGGACAATAATAATTTTAATTAGACAAATGTAATAAATAATAATAATCATGAAAATAAATCAAAACAAAACAAAACGCCGCTTGGCTGCGGTCGAAGAACGCGGCCAAAGAGTCAGGTGACGGGCCGTGAATGAAGAAAAAATAATAAAAAAGTGACAAGAAAAAGTCACCTGACGTTCACGTTTGCCACGTAAATCAGCCACGTAGCGACAGAACACTTTCACTTTAACAATGTACTAATTAAATATGTGTTTTTTAATGTCTACTGTGTTAAAAAATAAATGGATTGACAGACGGATGGATGAACTCCATCACCCAGAAGCCGTGAACTAATGGTGAGTGGCTTGTTAGTTGAGAGTTAACAATCCCGCACGCACAGTGGTAACAAATAATTTACCTATTTGCCTATTTGCAGGGCACTCATCAGGGAAAAAAAACAAAAAATCTCGATGTCATGGCAGTTCCTCGCAGCCACTGCAATCGTCCGAGCATCCCAGAGCAGGCAGGCAGAGCATCCAAAAGGGCAACCACGATGAGCTGCGTTCCCAATGCCGGAACGGCACCTCAAAACCCGCATATACGACGTGCATACTCTGATGGTACGCCTATCAATAAGTTTCATTTTGCCTAGACAGTAAGAATTTCTTTACATGTATTTTGAAAGAGTGTTTTACTTTCAGAGCACGCAGCGGCGGGGGCAGGTCGTTCCAACATCGAGACGCCGCAAATCTAAACGAGCCCCGAAATGCCGCCGTGCGATGCCTCGGGGTTAGGAAGACGTGAGTAATCACTCTTCTCTCATGCTCATTTCGGTTTGGGGCCTGGACTAGCTTGTCAAAGAGATACCTCGGCCGTCCTGTGTTAACAACGCCAAACAACAATGTAGCTAAGTGCAACCTTCTACGGGCCTCCATCTTCAACAGATTGGCAGTAATTAGAAATGGTGTTACATGAGATCGAGGTGGGATGTGGAAGCAGAAACGGGCACATGCATTCTGTACTCGTTGCAACAATTTTGCTGAACTTGCCAGTAGACATGGCCCATATACAGTGTCGCAATAGTTCAGCTTGGACAAGACAAGCGCCTCACAAAGGTTTATCCTCAGTTTTTCACACAAATATGGTCTTATTCTGTACAGGAGCTTCAACCTATAGAAACAATTCCTTGCACACTCAGTTATATGTTTTTCAAATTTGAGATGACTGTCCAGCACCATACCCAAGTTCCTTGCATCCTCAACCCTCTCCTGTTATGCTCATAAAAAGATAAGGCTGAAATTGACACTTTGTTTGAGCCTGGTATGTTCAGAAAATGCTGGTTTATAGCATTAGGGTCATTAAACTCAGGTGGCAGCTCACTAGTCTTCCCATTGTTAGGGAGTACAGTATTCTTAAGATTCCTCCATAATCTCTTAGAATTGCCTATATTACTATTTATATGCTTTTCAAAATAACATTTTTTCTCCTGTTCCAAGGCCTCCAGTACCATCCCTCTCATTTGTCTGTAACAGTCCTTTAGAGTAGATGTTTTGAGTTTTTTGTATTTATTGTGGTAGTTGTCCCTAATACGCATCATGGCTCTGACAGTGTCCGTTACCCACGGATGGGGAGGGTTTTTAAACTTTTTTGTCACTATTGGGGCATGTAAATCCATCAACCCTATAATACACGTTGTAAAAGCTCTTACTAGTTCGTTAACTTCGTTGATTTCATTAAAATTTCCCCACCGTATGGCACATAGATCTGCGTTCAGCCGGTCCATGAGAATGTTCTTGAGCGGTCTATATGTTACCCATCTAGGACTAGGTTTATCCACTTTAATTTTGACCTCTGCTAGTATCATAGCATGCCCTCCTCGATCCGGCGAATGCCTCACCGTCAGCTTGGGAACCCTAACATCAGTACACAACACATCTATTAAAGTGGCACTATGGTCAGTAAAGTGAGTGGGGTCCTCAACCATTTGAGTTAAATTTAAACTCTCGATGAATTGCATGAAGGCCCCATAGCCGCGACTGCTTTTATCAAGGAGATTGATATTAAAGTCTCCCATCACTATTATGCCGTCAGAGTGCGAGAAAGAGGTGACTGAGTCTGTGATAGCCTCTAGGAACATATTTATGTCTTGCCAGGGTGGTCTGTATGCAGTTCCAACGATTATATTTTGACCGTGTGCGTGAACTTTTAGCCACATCTGCTCGACAGGTGGGATAGATGTAGGAAATTCCAATTGTTTGGCATTTAAACCCTTACGTATGTAAAAACCTACCCCCCCTCCCCGACCCCCCCGAACTTGAATATGTCTCGGAATATGTCTCAAACGATAACCTGAAAGTTTAGGCGCCCTATCCTCCTCTCCCAATCGCAACCAGGTCTCATTTATGGCCATAATGTCAGGAGCGATTTCCACCATCGCAGCGGTAAATTCGTCATGTCCTGTACAGAGAGACCCTGCATTATATAGACCTAACAATAGATTTTTTAGCCTAAGGCCTGTGAATCGGGTAATGTAAATAAACGACAATAGCGGGATGTCAAAGTGTGATTCATAATTATTGATAATAATATCATGTAAATATTGTAATAAATAATATAGATAATTAGATTAGAACATAAATTAACGATTATATAATTAGAGATATTATTATAAATTAAATAAGTTACAGAAATAAAATTAGTTTGAAATAAGTAATACAATAGAATACAATTGTCAAATAGTTCAAACATTGTAAACGCGCTCATGCACGAAACGCGTCATCTGGACAAGCACAAAGGTTTATAGCGGCAAGTTATTTCATAACGGGCCGCGCATGAGAGAGCCTCACTGATATCGCTGGCGCTCAATTTTATTTATGGTTAACTACCGTCATGGTACAACGCTGAAACATGGTGGAAAAACGTAGCGCTTAAGCGCTTTGAAACTATGAAATACCAAAGAGAAAGTAATTATTAGCAACCCAGCAACTGGTTGGAAGGAAACAATCATATTGTTTCTCAATTACCTGAGCATTGGATGGCGGTGGAGACACTACATCTGCTTCTCTCTTCGGGGACGAGTTCGGCTTCTCTTCTTCTTTTAAAGCTTTTGTTGACAGATTTTTCTTCAGTTGCTGAAATTAAGAAAATAAGAGTTTAAAGGATCGATTTCTTTCCAATGCAAAGGCACTATTGAAGATTCAATTCGAAAAAAGACAGATGAATTGACAATCAAAGATCCCGGTCACACTAACGTCTTTCGAGCGTCATCTTGCCAGCAGCGCCCGCGTACCATCGCACAGTCGCGACCGCGCCAAACACAACGTTATTTTCAGACAAGTAACGCCACCTTCTCACTCCGCTGTGCTCACTGTCGACGCTGCCCAGGATGATGACGTCAAACGACGCTGTTAAGGTGCGTACAGATTGCGCGTACTCTGATACGCGTACGCAGTTTACGCGTATCCGCGGCCGGCTACGCTATATTTGGACGGCAAAAATAATACTTACGCGGCCGCGTGCGTCCTCTTTGACGCGCGACCAAAAACCGACAGACGGTGGCTCGCGCTGCGAGTTGGTACGCGTACCCCAAGTGAACGCGTAGCTGCAGGTATGGACTAGGCGTTCCGGATACGCGCAATCCGTACGCACCTTTAGGGGGTCTAAACAACACCCACCTGCGTCTTTATGTAGGTGTCAATAAGCGCGAAGGCGAGGTCGCGGTTGAGCTTGGTCCAGGCGCCGCGCAGGTCGTGCACGGCCAGCCGGTGCGTGGCGCTGCCCGCGCCCGCGCCCGCCGCCTCGCGCCCGTAAGACACGCGCCGCACTGACACGCAGTACCATTTCTCTACTTCTGGCGGGCGGAGGACTGACGAGTTCTGGGACAAAATATTGACAATTTTAAAATATGCGCAGTGAGAATACGACTGATCCATTATTTTAGGCTTCTTATACACGAGCGGCTCATAGCCGACGGCAGTGGCAACGGCAGCTGTCGCCACCTCTTGGCAGCAGCTGTCGACTCGTCGACGGCAGTCGTCGCCGACAGGTGGCGTTAGCTGCAGTTGTAACTGTTTCTTTGTACAGGATGCGACAGCTGGCGTTGCCACTGCCATCGGCTATGAGCGGCTCGTGTATAAGAACACTTATTTGGACGAAAAACGCAATAATACAAATAACGCAATATGACGCGATGCGAAAACACCAGATAGTCGGTAATGGCCTACGTAGTCGCGTATTACAGACGTCACATGAAGATTAGTCGCATTACGTGGCATCCGCATCGCTTCATGTTGCGTTTCGTCGCTCATCTACAACAACGGGTAAACGACGATATCCTCCCTTCATTATCATCATCATACCAATGACAGTCCACTGCTCTCCCAGAAACTACAATCTCGTTCTCGTTAAAAGTAAGCCCATATAAACGTCACATGTCACAACTGATAGATATTTAATTAAAACGTGGTTCACCAGGGAGATCCTGCTACCTCCCCAAACAACTCATTACAACTACACAGCTACTTTTTCAGATATCCTAAAAACACGCGTACACATGGTAACACTCACCGCATCATTATCCTTGTCCTCAGCCACCGCAGCGGTGGTCTTCAGCCAGATCTCCGCGTCATTCAAATCACAGTTCATATACACCGTGGTCCAGTTAGCTCGGGGACGCCGCAGTAACCCGTCGGCGGCCGGGACTAGAGTCAACCGGTGTTTGGAGCCGCATGTCACGCGGACGCCGAGCATCTCGATGCCTCGCTGCATGGATGATGATGACCAGTAGAACACCTGGCAGGATGAAGATTGTTTCTATATTTGTTACTTCGATAGTGAGTGTAGTGGAAGTTTATAAATGAAAAGAGTGGACTGTATGAAATTAATTATCTATTCGGTATAAATTTACAATGTTATCGAGACCGTTTTGTGCAAAGTCGTTGAAGAGAGTGCGTCAGGATCGTCTTCTTAGATGTTCGCTCGCGAACCGAACATTGCTCGTTCGTTCGCCGAACGCTCGCCGCTCCCTCCGGTCACGCCGCCCGCGGGCAATGTCCGTGAGTAGACAATATTATTTTGTTTTAATGTTGAGGACGCAGGCCGCTACCAACCGGGTAGCATGGAAAGCATTGGGGGAGGCCTATGTTCAGCAGTAGACGTCCTAAGTCTGAGATGATAATGATGAATGTTGATGACGCGCTGCATCTATGATGATGACCAGTAGAACACCTGGGAGGTTGAAGGAAGATTGTTCCTTTATTATTTTGTTTTAATGTTGATGACGCGCTGCATTGATGATGATGATTATCAGTAGAACACCTGCGAGGATGAAGATTGTTTCTATATTATTTTGTTTTAATGTTGATGACGCGCTGCATCTATGATGATGACCAGTAGAAAACCTGTGAGGATGAAGTAATGTTTCTATATTTCATTGTTTTCATCACGTCATCGCGCGGACAGTAAAACACCTACTCCGCGGATGAATAGTTTCTGCATTCAACCTTATCGTAATTTCAGCCACAAGTTCACTGCTGATCGTAGCTTCTATTCTAGTAATGAGACTTTGGATCCACTGGAATGCACACAGCGTAAAATCAATTTATGTAATCTGTTTCTATTTTTGTTGCAGTAAAGTTAGATACTTTGACGAACTGAAAATCGTCTGTTTTAAAAAAATCCGTGCTTCGAATGACACAGACACCAAATGGATGGATTTTGAACTGTAACTCTTTAACCTAAAGTTCAAAATCAATCTTAGCACGCACCTGCAGGTTATGCAGCGTGAGAGACACGCTGACGTTGCGGTAGTGACGCGACAGCTGCGGCTTGCGCGGGCGCACATTGTTGAACACGCGCCCGCGCCGTGTCGGCCGCGTCACGCCGGATAGAATCAACTTCAAGCTCTCGAACCACCTGAAAAAAGTTTATTATTTACCACAACGGCCTGCTTCTCATCTGATTGGAAGTGACAGTGAGACCAAAAGTGGAAATGATCCTAATCCGAAATGAATGACAAAAAAACTGAGTACCTATGTTACCTTCAACTGCCGAAACACAATATGCTTTTTACATTGTTGTTATGGCGACAGAGTTGGAAAGATAATGGTAGCTAGCCAGGCAGACCAAGTACCTATTTCTAAGTATTTTTACTGATTTTTCAAAAAGCTTGTAACTTTTTAAACTTTACCTTAAAGTGCTCCCGTAAAGCAGCAGCACAGGTCCATCCCTGTCTATGGGCTTTGTCTCCATACTCAAGTGGATATCTAGCCCTTGAGACCGGAATGCGCGGTAAGAGTCGTGTTCCTGAAAATTACAGTTTATTTTAGACACACACACAAAAGTTTATTTCAATCAAATTAGGAACCTCTCAAGGTTGTCGCCCAATATCATAAATATCGCGGTGAATATTCTTATAATGTCATTTACTGACTTAAAAGCCTTACAATAAGTGCCTCACACGTACTCGTAGCTTCGTCATTCTACGCTTGACGTTTTCTGACTTCCAAATATCGTTGAAGCATGAAGATTGCATGCAGCGACATTTCCGCTTCGTAGTTTTGTATGCAAGTGCCAAAAGTTAGCATAACCATTATCGTTGTAAATTACGGCATATAGCAAGAAACTCTTTATTATAACAATCTGCAGTATTTCACCTAAGCTAATTAAGGTAATTTCTTAAAGATGGTCCTTCGAGCCGGATTAGTTTTTACAGACCTGGTTACTAGAGTACTCGGGCAACCGCGTGGGCGCACAGGGCGCCTGCGCGTGGTGGTCGCGCGGGTCGCCGACGCACTGCCAGCCGAGCTTGGCGCACAGCCGCAGCGCCGGCACGCGCAATACGCGGCAATCGTCGTACTTGCCCGCATATTAACGCCCGTATTCACAGTCATTGCTATGAGGTCTCACAGTGCGCGTGGATGCACAGGATCACACACCCGTATTCACATGTGATGCTTGCTTAAGTAAAGCAGCAAATCTAACGCACAGCGTTGAATAGAGCTTTGTGATTTGTTCGTGTGTCACCCTGTGCGTCAATGCGCTCTGTGACACCTCATAGTAATGTTTGTGAATACGGGCGACAGAGTTCTATTCAACGCTGTGCGTTCGATTTGCTGCTTCACTTAAGCAAGCATCGTTTGTGAATACGGGTGCAATTAACCCATTAAGTTAATATGCGGGCGCACGCAGCTGGCACCTATCGCGTCGGACGGATTTTTTTTCGGAAGGACTATGCTGATAGCCGTAAGCGGCTTTCTCAGCTTCATTGGACAATAGGTGAGCGCAGATAGCTCTCAACCTCAAAATTTAAGCAACGAGCCTAAGGGCGCTCCCGAGTGAGGCTTGAACCTCGGCCTAGGGCGTTGCTGGGGGACGGTAACCTAACATAGGTTTGGGGAGAGAAGCGGCCGGGCACGTGCCGATACTGCGAGAAAAAGGGACGGGTCGAAGGGGACCGCGGCGCGCGTCGGACGGAGCGGGAGCATAGTCCCTTGGGGTTTCCACAGACCTAGTTGTTGGAGTAGCGGGCAGGCACGGTGTTCACGTGTCACCTAAATTTACTAAATTACTTTACTATAAAACTTTAGGGTTTCCACACTTTCCACACACCTGGTTACTAGAGTACTCGGGCAATCTCGTAGGCGCGCAAGGCGCCTGCGCGTGGTGGTCGCGCGGGTCGCCGACGCACTGCCAGCCGAGCTTGGCGCACAGCCGCAGCGCCGGCACGCGCAGCACGCGGCAGTCGTCGTACTTGCTCGCTGTGCGGACGAATACGTTCAGCTCGCCGAGGAAGCCGAGCTTGCCTGGGGGAGAATGCTGGTTACAATCCAAAAATCACAAAATCATACAGTAAAATCACGGTTAAGTAACACGCGCTCGAACGGACGACGCCGCGAGCCGCCAGTCTGCTTGTGACCACGGCTGCAGCATAGCAGCCGAATCGTCAAGACTCAAGCCGTGAGTACATAATGTAACTCATTAATAAACGTCGCGTTAAGACCCGTGTCTTTCTATTTTAGTTGAAATGGAACGCGAAAGTTTAAAATCTTATATAAGACGCGGCATTCGTCGTACTTGCTTGTCACAATCACAAGGTTACATATTATCACAAAATCACCGCAAGGTTACACAGTACAAAATCACAGTGTAAAGTTTCGTAAGGAATTACATAAACCAAGCCGATGACGGCACTATTTTACTGACTAACTTTTCACCAATTTTCAGCCACGCAAAATGACAGGGCAGGCAGTGTGTATTTTATTTAGCAATTCTTTGGGTGTTACTACTCTCACGGTACATCTTAATGGTCCTTCGAGCCGGATTACTGTTTTTCTAGACCTGGTCACTGTAGTACCGAGTACTCGTGCAGGCACGTGGACATTTCAAGATTAGAATGATGTCTTCTTTCTGAAAAATTCCACCAGACTAGCGAGCTTAAGGGGGGGCCGGGACCTTGCTGCCGCTCACCGTTGGTCCAGTCCAGCACCAGGTCACTCCATGTGAGCTCCATCTCCTCGGTGGTGTTGTATGGGTCCAGCGACACGTGCAGCAGGCACGTAAAGCGCGCGATGTTGGCAGTCAGCCGCCCGTGCAAGAGCAGCCGGACCTTGTCCGACCAGGCCAGGGGGCCAGGGGTCCCGGGGGACCAGGGGGCCGGGGGTCCCGGGGGTCCAGGGGGGGGCCGGGACCCCCGCTACCTGCTGCCACTCACCGTTGGTCCAGTCCAGCACCAGGTCGCTCCACGTGAGCTCCATCTCCTCGGTGGTGTTGTAGGGGTCCAGCGACACGTGCAGCAGGCACGTGAAGCGCGCGATGTTGGCCGTCAGCCGCCCGTGCATGAGCAGCCGGACCTTGTCCCACCAGGCCAGGGGGCCAGGGGTCCCGGGGGACCAGGGGGCCGGGGGTCCCGGGGGTCCAGGGGGGGGCCGGGACCCCCGCTACCTGCTGCCACTCACCGTTGGTCCAGTCCAGCACCAGGTCGCTCCACGTGAGCTCCATCTCCTCGGTGGTGTTGTAGGGGTCCAGCGACACGTGCAGCAGGCACGTGAAGCGCGCGATGTTGGCCGTCAGCCGCCCATGCATGAGCAGCCGGACCTTGTCCCACCAGGCCAGAGGCGCGGAGGGGTCCAGGGGGCCGGGACCCCCACTACCTGCCGCCGCTCACCGTTGGTCCAGTCCAGCACCAGGTCGCTCCACGTGAGCTCCATCTCCTCGGTGGTGTTGTAGGGGTCCAGCGACACGTGCAGCAGGCACGTGAAGCGCGCGATGTTGGCCGTCAGCCGCCCATGCATGAGCAACCGGACCTTATCCCACCAGGCCAAGGGTGCAGAGGGGTCCAGGGAGGGCCGGGACACTTGGTCGAAAGCTGGAATCGATGGTATGAGTTAGTGATCGTGCCACACCAGCAGGGCCGACGGGTAACAACCATATTTTTTAAGTTTTCATAAATCGAGTAGACTGTATTATACACAGTATTGTACATTTTAAATCGATTGAATCGAATTTCATGCAGATTTTCAAGCTTTTCATGTAGGGACTATCGGCCACTGTGTTAACTATCCATTTCCGTTTTTACTCTCGCTCTCATCAAATGGTGATTCTTTGCGATAGAACGAGACGACATGACCGGCAATGGGTAGTTAACACTGTTGCCGATAGTAGGTACAGTAATTTGTTCGTTAAATAATATTTTCATACGTTGGAGAACAGTACACGTGTACGTCTAGCCTTAGTGACATCTAAAACTAATATAGCAATTTCTTTTTCCACTCACACAGGTTGCAGTGTGCGATGACCGGTTCCCAACAGGGCCCGAAGGCGTAGCTGTACTGAGCCATCTCGCAGCACAAGTCGTAATACCATTTGAGAGGCATCATGCTACGCTCCAACTCGTACGGGCCCCACGGCGCGCCCTGGTCTATTGTCACCGTGCGAACCGCTGGAACACACAACATTGACAATGTTACAAAACTGTTCCCAACTCCACAGAAATGTTGCAAAAATGCATGGATATAGTCGTGTGGTTTCGGCAGAGTAGAATAGGACCACCATCTCTCTTTCTGTGACTGTCATAAGAGGCGATTAAAAGACAAACATGTGAACATCAGACCTCCCCAACCCATCTACCCAGCGTAAGGGGTGTAGCATAAAGATCTTCCCGTGGTAAATTAGAGAGGATCGTCTTCCTGGCCTTCCTATGGCCCGGTTTCCATCAAAGCGGAGCGGAGAGATGTGAGCTGTGTGTAGCTGTCAGCTGTCAGTCTATTGCTGTCTACGAATCGTATGTCGCTTTCGGGTGTGCGGAGAAGGCAGCGGGGAACGATTCATTTTCACCGAAATTGAGCGGAGAGGAGATGTGGAAATAACGAAATCTCATTGGTTATTTAAAACACAACTTTTCTCGTCTCCACTCCTTTCCGGGCTCCGGGAAACCGGGCTTAAAAGGCCTAATGATGATGATGTTAGTACAATGTACCTCTGGGCGGCGGCTGGTCCTCGGCGGCGGCCACGGTGCCCCACATGCGCAGGCCGCGGCAGCTGAGCAGCGGCTGCGGGAAGTCCCGCAGCAGCAGCTGCCACTGCGCCACGCCCAGCTGCACGCCGCGCGCCCACAGAGTCGTGAACTCCATGCCGTCCTCCGGCCACGGGCTAAAGAATAACGTTCCATTTCAATTAAAATAGTAAGACACGGGTCTTAACGCGACGTTTATTAATGAGTTACATTATGTACTCACGGCTTGACGTTTCGGCTGCGATGCTGCAGCCATACATAATGTAACTCATTGATAAACGTCGCGTTAAGACCCGTGTCTTACTATTTTAATATATTTTAAAATTACAACTGTCTGCAGCATTTTTGCGCACGGGTTATGCATAGCTTATTTTTATTGCTTTATGACCTAGAAATAAGAATAACAACAAAAAGTTGTTCTGAATTTGCTTATAAGTGTAAAAAATAGAAAAAATCATATCAATGAATGTATGAAACATGAACATAGAGATGATTCAATTTGTTGCCAAATATATTTTTTTCTTTCTTTCTTTCATTCTTTCTAATTATTAAAACATACCAAACATTCATTTAAGATTCATTCTCACAAGAGAATATTTAAAATAGAGTCCAAATATTTATTAAAAATGAAAAGTTCCAATTTCCTGTCATGTTCCATAGAAGATTTTTCGCATAAAAATCTAACCCTATCATGCTTTCAGTATACTGGCCTTGGTAACGTCGTCTCTCAAATCTCACTATATTTTGATGAAAGCGTGCCCCTTGTTCTTGCGAATAAGCCCCCATAATTATTTATAATATTATATCCCAATGAGAATGGGACGTGCATCTTTAGAGACATTCTACTATGAAGATGGAAAATTCAAATCGCTATAACTTCTTAAAAAGCAAATATTTTTGATTTGTAATCGCACTTTTTTATATAAATTTGCTTATATAATCAGAACATAATAAGTAAAATCCATGCGCAAAAAAAATTTTTTTTTTTTTGTTGACCGGTGTTAAGCAATCGCATGAGTAGACATCATAGGTTTTTTTAATCCCAGCTGCACGCGCGCCTATAGAGCTGACTATTGGCTACGGGCTGGTGAAATGGAATTTAGATACGTGATCAAAATAAGTCTCAAGTTGTTTTTAATTACGTCAAAGTCACGAGAATTTATCTAAAAATTAAGATAAACTAATCTTCTTATAACCTTCTATAGGGCTATTACGTTGCAAGTAGTGGGCCACGAGGCGCATGCGTAGCGAAAACGTGGCGCGACAGAACTAGATCAGAAAACGATCGAACTAATAAAGACACAATAAGAGCTTGTAAAAGTCAATATCCCTGAGCTTCGCTTGCACGTTCTGCCACAGAATAATAATAAGTATGTACTACGTACAGAAGTTTTACTTCGCGAAGGTATTTAAAAAAATGTATGCTCAATGTCATTAACAATATGGTGTAAATTAGCCTGTCTCAAGAGTCAAGCACCATTTTGTTGACAAACGTCAGTGATCGGCACTGCGCCGAAGCTATAGGGCTGACTTCGGTAAAATGATGTGACGTGAGGTGCCAAACTGCGGAAAATGGCAGAGGAAATACATGATTTAGCGGATTTAGCATGAATTATCATGCATAATATTAAGTACTTATTTACCTCTCAGTGTCTTGAGGCAACTTAAAAAAGTACATTATATGTTTTTATTATTATTTAGGCAGTTAAATACTGCACAGTATTTATTTAGTACACCATTTTTTTATTTTCTTCCATCATAGGTACACAAGAATACGCGTGCGTGAGTCAATGTTCGCTCGTATGTGAGGCCTTGTCGAATAGTATCCTGTAGGTGGGCCATCGTGCGTGTTTTGTTTTCGATGTAAACTCGCGGAGATGAACAGGCCTGGTTCTGCGCACAGTTTATGGATGGATCAGCGTCTGCTTTAGCACTTACTCCGGAATCCGGAAAGGCAACAGATCACGATACGCGTGAGCAACGATAACATGATCGAAAGCCTTTTAAAATCTAATTACCTGTCAAAATCTATATCTCTCATCGTCGCTTGCGTGTTCTGTGCTCCATTTATCGAAAGGGTCAGCTAATGCTATAAGCCTGAATCCACTAAGGCAGCAGGCCACAAGGCGCGTACACCGCTATACTACATCAACAAAAGATCGCACTCGTAAAGACACAGTAACTTACCTGTCAAAATCTATATCTCTCATCGTGGCTTGCTCGTTCTGTGCTACACGTATCGAAGGATCAGCCAATGCTATAATCCTGAAGTCAGAAAGGCAGCAGGCAAAAGGCGCGTACACCGCTATACTACATCAGCAAAAGATCGCACTCGCAAAGTCACAGTAGCTTACCTGTCAAAATCTATATCTCTCATCTTCGCTTGCGCGTTCTGTGCGCCATGTATGGAAGGGTCAGCTAATGCTATAAGCCTGAAGCCACTAAGGCAACAAGCCACAAGCCGAGTGCGTGGCGGCGGCGCGGCTCGGCAACGCTGCACGTAGATCTGAGCGTCCTTCTGACGTAAGGCCGAGTATAGCTCCTCGACTTTACCCGCGGGCAAGAATAGGTGGGGCTTGCATAGTTCTTGCACCTGAAAGGCAAACGTTTTGTTGTTATTTGGCAGCCACTATTTCATTATGCAGAACAAGGAAGTATATTGAACATGATGACTGCAATCACACTTGATGCCAAATGAGATGCAATCCAGGATAGTACATATTTGCCCAGCAAATGGCTAAATGCCTATTCACTCTCACCTTGAAGAGACCTGGATTATAGTGTTGGAGACAGCAAACAGCGATTTCCATTTCGAATCGATCCAAAGCTGTTCGCATTACAAAAGAGTCAGCGAAACATTTAGTGCGAGCTGGTGGAATGTCGGCAATGTAAGGATGATACGCTAACCTGTGTCTGATTTCTGAATATGGATTTAACAATCAGCCTAGCACAGATTACTCTCTAAGCCTAAAGTGGCTGACTCGATTCAGCTATCCAGTTATGTTTGTCAAAATCAACTGTAATAAGATTGGTTTACCTTAGCGTCAAGCATAGTCCGTCTCTTTTGACTTTCCTTGTACTCGTCCTCTAAAAGCTCGTAGTTGTCACGCAGTTTCACTTCGAACGGATCGTCACTCATTTCGATTAAGATTTCTTGAATCTGCAAAAACAAAACACAACCAATAAATATCTATCTGTCTTCGCTGACATTCGGAGCCAATAAAACTCAGGTTTGATGAATATTTCGTATTATTTGAAAATGTATTACAATAGTGCGTATCGCGCGGCGACTGGAAGGTAAGTGATTTTGACAGTACAAAATAGTATGAAGTTTAAAAACGCCTGCGACAAAGCAATAGCAAACAATTACATGTATTAGAAATTACGATTTAGTTAGGAAAGGAAGTTAATTGATTATTTAATTATAAGTTATGCAATTAAGTATTAGAGTCGCTTGATAGACGGATTGAGCCGCAACAATCACAAACGAAATTTTAAGTAATATCATGGCTTTGACAATGCGATTATCACACTGCACCGCGGTCTGCGTGGCGACATTAACGAATCCCGGCCCGGGCGCAAACGCGTTGTCAGTGTGTTGTGCCGCGCGTGTTTTCTATACAAACTGANTCTTCCCGCCTCGTTGAAAGGAACTTTCAACATGAAGAATCTTCGGTTGGTAGTGGACATAGACGAGTGAGCGGTCTTCTTACGCATCCTCGCACGGTGTTGACATCTGCTACCCGGGAGATCCCATCAGTACCAGGAAATAGTCTGGCGACTCTGCCTAGTCTCCAGTTCAGAGGTGGTACGTGTTCCTCGTGTATCAGTACCATGTCGCCAATTTTGAGTTTTGTGATATTGTCCTTCCATTTGGTCCTCTGTTGTAGTTCTCCAATATATTCCTTCTGCCATCTATTCCAAAAGTGCTGTCGCAGCTTCTCAAGACGTTCGTATCGTCGAAGACTGGTTTCTTTAGAGTTGTGTAGATCTGGCGCTGGCAACGATGTCATCGGTCTGCCGATCATGAAGTGTCCTGGGGAGAGAGGAAGGAAGTCATTTGGTGAGGAAGATAAGGGATACAAGGGTCGGCTATTTAAGATGGCCTCCACTTGCGCAAACAATGTAGAAATCTCCTCAAAAGTAAGGTGGGTATTTCCCATTACACGTTTAATATGATGTTTAGCTGATTTTATTCCAGCTTCAAAAATACCTCCGAAGTGAGGAGCGTATGCTGGAGAGCAAAAAAACTTGATACCTTCGCGATTTGCAAAATCACAAAGAGCAGATTCATTTTCCTTTAAAAACTGACTAATTTCTTTATAGGAAGCCACGAAATTACGACCTTTGTCGGAAAATACCTCTGCTGGCTTTCCTCTACGAGCTATAAATCTTCGTAATGTCATTAGAAAAGCGTCTTTGGACAGGTCACTGACCGCTTCTAAGTGTATGCATTTGTATCGCATACAAACAAACAAACATAAATAGCATTTAATGACACGACTGCCTCGTCCTTTTCGATTTAAAATATAAAATGGTCCTGCATAGTCCAAACCCACAGACATAAATGGATAACCAGGTGTTATTCTTTGGGCTGGAAGGTTACCCATCTTTGGGCACAACGTTTTACCTACTACGCGCCTACAACGCACGCAGTTATTTACAACACGCCTGGCAAGACGCCTGCCGTTCACTGGCCATACGGTTTCACGGACAGTGGCTAACAATAATGAGGGACCTGCATGCATATTTCGTATGTGTTCACGCTCAAAATATAATTTTGTTAAACGATGGGAGGCATGAAGTAATATAGGGTGTTTTTTCTCATAAGTGTATGCCGAGGCATCAATCCTCCCGCCCACCAGTATGAGCTGCTTATCTGTGTCAAAAAATGGCGATAATGAAAGTATTTTAGATTTTGACTTCAATGATTTGTTATTTATTAAATTATCATATTCTACGGGAAACGATTGACGTTGTGCAATGGAACATAAACAATGGAATGCATTATTTAGTTCTTCAGCGGTTAAAGAATTTAATTGTTTGTTTTTTGGATTTTTTACGTTATTGATAAATCTTTTTATATAAGCAAATGACCTCAATAATTTGTTGAAATTGGAATAATTATCAAAATTAATTATAGACTCGAAAATGGTAACTGCATTAGATTTAATTTCGGCCTGATTTTTCAATAGCTGGATAACTTCTAACTGAAGAATATGTTTGGCATATTGACAGTTTTAGTATGGGAAATAAGTCAAAATGACAGTTCTATTCTTCAGTTAAAACTTAACCAACGATTGAAAAATCAGCCCTTCATGTAATATTTGTTGATTATTTTGTTTTAAAATCGGCCAATCTGATGAATCATTGGTTAAAAATTCTGGGCCTTGCCACCATAAATTCATAGATATTAATTGATTTGTGTTTACACCACGAGTGATTAGATCTGCGGGATTCTGTGACGTAGGCACGTAACGCCAAGATGAAACATTGGTTATTTCTGAAATTTCATTAACACGATTGGCTACAAAAGATTTTAATTGCCTTGGATCGTGTTTTAGCCAAGCCAAAACAATGCTTGAATCGCACCAATGAATAATACGCGTCGGTTTGCATCGTAACGCATCTGTGACTGACTTGCACAATCGCGCGGCGAGCAAGGCACCCAACAACTCAAGACGCGGCATTGTTGTAGGTTTTACCGGAGCGACTTTCGATTTAGAACACAACAACTTAACGCTCACATTGCCATTAGCGTTCACCGTACGCATATAGATGCAAGCACCGTAAGCATATTGAGATGCGTCACTGAATGAATGTAATTCAATACAAATAGGGTTGTCACACAGTACTAATCGTGGAATTCGTAATTGATTTAAATATGTTATATTATTTTTAAATATTTCCCAACTATTTTTGATATCTTGTGGCACTGGTTCATCCCAGTCTATTTTTTGTAGCCACATTTTTTGCAATAGCATTTTAGGCTGTATTATAACAGGACTTAATAGACCTAGTGGGTCGAATATCTTGAAAGATTGAGACATAATTGACCTTTTAGTAATTGGTGCATTATTATCTTGCGGGGTGAATTTTGTTGGAAAATGCAAGGTATCGGTGGATGGATCCCATCCTAGACCGAGTGTACAGGTTGATTCACTAAATATTAAATTTTCCTGATTACCTGATATGTTACAATTTTGAAACAATGTGCGTGAATTACTTTTGTACTTTCGTAAATTAAAACATCCTGAACTTAATACTTTAGAAATTGAATATTGTAAATTGCGTAAATCCTCTTCTTGATCACACCCTGTAATTAGATCGTCTACATAAAAATCATTTTTAATTATTTCCTTCACTATTTCATCTTCGCACTCGTCACCTAGTTGATAAATACATCGAGTGCTCAGATAACTAGCGCTGGCTGTGCCATACGTTAATGTGTTTAGCCTTAATATTTTAATAGGTTGAGATTCGTCGTTTCTCCACAATATTAATTGCAGATTGCGGTCTGACTCATCGACCTCAACTTGGCGGTACATCTTTTCGATGTCGCCGGTTAGTAAATATTTATATTGCCTAGCCCTAATTAGAATAGAGAATAAGGAATCTTGCACATTGGGACCTGACCTCAATATGTCATTAAGTGAGTATCCTGAAGTCGATGCTGCCGAGCCATCAAAAACTACTCTCAACTTGGTGGACTCGCTAACTTCCTTCAGAACAGCATGATGACAGAGAAAATATGATGGATCAGGTTTTATGTTAATTTCTGAAAGATGTCCTAAACTTGAATATTCCTCTATGAATTTACAATATTNCCCAACTAATATTATAAATGCGAAAGTAGCTCTGTCTGTCTGTCTGTCTGTCTGTCTGTCTGTCTGTCTGTCTGTCTGTCTGTCTGTCTGTCTGTCTGTCTGTCTGTCTGTCTGTCTGTTACGCTTTCCCGCTTAACCCTCGCAACCGATTTTGATGAAATTTGGCATAGAGATAGTTTGAGTCCCGGGAAAGAACATAGGATAGTTTTTATCCCGGTTTTTGAAACAGGGAAATAAAGTTTTTCTGTGACAGACAAAATTCCACGCGGGCGAAGCCGCGGGCGGAAAGCTAGTTTACAATATTCTGCCTTTAGATTAGCATTTCGTTTGAATCGTTTTTCTAGTGAGATGAATCGTCTTTTAGCGAGAGCGAATGTATCACCTAAATAATCAGCTGTGTCCTTTAAGGGCAGCTTCACACTAAACCTGCCATTGTTTAATCGAACTGTATTTTGTAAAAAATGGTTTTCGCATTCCTCATCATTTTTGTTTAGGATGCGTTTTTGGGGAATCTCTTCAAGATCCCAAAATATAGGAAGCATTTTGTCTACTTCATTATTTGAATTTTGTGAAATAGAAGCGTGGTTACATTGTACTGACTTAGATGATGAATTTTGTGTAAATATAGGACCGGAAATTAGCCACCCTAATTTAGAATTATGCAATTTAGGACCTGGGCACCCCAAAGAACGTTGTTCGTTCTCAAGAATGTCCCAAAAAATGTCTGCCCCGATTAATATATCAATCTTGGAGGGCTGGTTAAAGGTGGGATCGGCCAGTATGATGGATGATGGTAATTTTAGAGTTTTGATATCGATAGGAGCCCTTGGCAGCTCTGTAGTTATTTCATTCAGTACGAAGCATGATAATTGTGTACTGAACGATATATTTTGTGACTGTAATTGAACGTTACAAGTTTCTATGGGCTGATTAGAACAGCTGTTGCCTATTCCTATAACTTGTATGTTATTTAGACGGTTTGATTTTAGCTTTAGTTTATTTTGTAATGACTTAGTGACAAAAGATGACTGGCTTCCACAATCCAACAATGCACGCACCTTTATTGACTGGTTTGTGATGGGATTGAGAACGTCTACTAAGGCAGTTGACAGAATTACTTGTTGGTTTTGTATGGAATGATTGACAATAGTTGTAGATTCAGAATCATTGATTGAAATGTTAGACTTGTATGATATTGTGGGATCATGAAGAAGCGTATTGTGTCGCTTTTTGCACTCGCGACATGGTCCCATGCGGCAGTTATTTAATGAATGACCTTGCCGTAAGCAGTTGCTACATAATTTATGATTTTTTACATCATTTAGCCTATCTTGTACACTTTTGGACTTAAAAACAGAACAATCATATATTCTGTGATTGTCTCCACATATAACGCACACAAACATATTGTGAGGCTTTTGTGTATTTACACTAGTAAGCGCTTTGGTGTAAGTAGTGCCTTTATTGTAATTATTATTATTGGATTGTTGTCCATAACTGCGTGACGTTGTGGGTGAATTTTTACTGAAATTATTGTTGCTATCGAATTTATTTCTATTAATTGATTCCAAAACGTCAGCTCGGTCAATTAAAAATTTATTAAATTGAGCTAAAGTCGGCATATCTTCAAGTGTGTTACGAAACTCTTCCCATTTAGTAAGAGTACGATTATCCAATTTAGATGAAAGCATGAAAATGAGAAGCATGTCCCACTTGTCAGTAGGTTGGCCTAAACTGGACAATGCACGTAGATTTTTTGTCATGTGATCTACTAAGAATCGTAACGACTTTTCTGATTCCCGAGTTATTGATTGAATACTTAGTAAGGAATTTAAATGATGATTTGTTAAAAGTCGTTTGTTATTGTATCGATTGCAGAGAAGCTGCCATGCCTGTTCATAATTGGCTGATGACATTTCGAAGTTAGATATAATTCTTGCCGCCTCTCCCTCTAAGTACGAAACAAGATAGTGAAATTTGTGAATATTAGAAATCCTATTGTTGTTATGAATCAAACTTTCAAAGGTATCGTGAAATTCCAGCCAGCGGAAATATGCTCCGCCAAATTTCGCAATTTGTATCTGTGGCAACTTGAACCCCATATTATGATCGGATGAGCATTGAGCAGAAGCAGTGACATCATGAAATATAGATTCGCGCCTTTGTTGAATGTCACAGTTATAAGAATCAATTATTTTCTTACTTGCTGCAATATTAATTATAAAATCATTCTCGATGCTCTCCCGTTCGTCTATTTCCCTGTCTAAATTATCTGAATTTAACACCTCAATCTGATTTTGCAAATCGTCAAACCTCAATGATAAAGACTCAAACTTTCCAAGTTTGAGCGTAAGTTCAGCCAAATCAACACTGGTTAATTCATCTTTTTGCTGTATATTGCATAAAAAGTTTCTAAATTTAGTGATTTGACCTTTGATCGACTTTCGCTTCACACTTAATTCTTTAAAATTATAATTGCATTCACTGGAGGTAGACATGATGTTAAATTAAATTGCAATGAAATGTAAATTCCAATTAACTGTAAATTGCAATATGAATTGAGGTAATTAGGTATCAAGTTATATAAAGAAAAAAAGCTCACGCTCCTCCCTCGGCGGTAGTCTTGATAGCTGGAACTACGCACTCGTTGGTGATGCAGCGTAAGGCTGAGTGTAGGCCGGAGCCGGAACAGCTGGAATATTCGGCAGATAGTTTTAGCCGACACGAAATAATTGGCACGGTGAAGTGCAAGTAAATTGATTAGATGGGCCACCAACTTGGCGTTAAATTACGTATGAAGTTGTGCAAAAGTAACTTAATTACCAAGTAAATTATTGTATTGAATGAATTGAAGATGATTTTAAATTGAAGTGTGAAAATATGTAAATTTTATTTTTATATTTGATTTGAAGGTAGAAAAATATAACGGTTTTATGCAAACTAAAATCTTGTATAATTTGGAAATTACGAATAAAATTGAGGATTTAATTATTTGTGAATAGGTACGATTGCATGCAACAAGCTTTAGTATATAAATAGAATTGGATAATGGACGTTATTATGGAATGCGATAGGTTGTAGGAATGATAGGAGGAAAGGATTTTGGAAATTTGGACACTTATCTCATGAACTGCAGCCGGTGTGAAGCTTTAGATCGACTCCTGTGCCAGTATCAGCAGCTCAATCGGTGTTCCCTTGTCCTCGGTGATGGATTTCGTCTTCCTGAAGTATTGGTCAGCACGATGACGCGGCGAACTTTTTGCAGGATATTGGCGAATTCTTCTTGGTTTCGTGGCTAGATTCCCCTCATGGGCCACCAATTTATGTCTTCGCTGACATTCGGAGCCAATAAAACTCAGGTTTGATGAATATTTCGTATTATTTGAAAATGTATTACAATAGTGCGTATCGCGCGGCGACTGGAAGGTAAGTGATTTTGACAGTACAAAATAGTATGAAGTTTAAAAACGCCTGCGACAAAGCAATAACAAACAATTACATGTATTAGAAATTACGATTTAGTTAGGAAAGGAAGTTAATTGATTATTTAATTATAAGTTATGCAATTAAGTACTAGAGACGCTTGATAGACGGATTGAGCCGCAACACTATCTAACTGACTGAGTATGTATCTTATGGCAATTCTTTTCATCATTATGTTTACACCTGTGTCACACACATTGCGATAACATTCGAGCGACAGCGGAGCGAAGTCCTTGCGACTATGCAAAAAAGCGCCACATTGCGATGACGCGAATCTTCAGGGTTATCACGATGTATGTGGCCTAGGGGTCACATTATCCCGAAGTGGTAAGGTTGCATTAAAACGTTCAAAACCATCATACTTACTTAGTGCACAGCATGTTAAAAAAATTTATTGTAGTGAATAAGGTTCAAATTACAGTGGATAAAAAGCCTTAAAGAACTATTCTAAAGCTCGGTCTGCGAGCACGTAGAATTTTGTTCAATGATCCCAAGCTATCCATCCTTATCGCTCGCGCGTAATTATATTGCTGTCGCGACTGTGCGACGGGCGCCCGCAGTGAGTGTGCGAGCGCGATAAGGATGGGTAGCTTGGAGTCATTGGACAAAATTGTACGTGCTCGCAGACCAGACTATAGTGACCTTGATATGCAAGTCGCTGGGCAGCGGACTCTCGGCAGTGAAGGGCTTCTTCTTGATGGCGTGCACCAGCTTCACCCACTTGAACAGCGACACGAAGTCGCCCTGCACCGCGTCCGCGAACCGGTGCTTGTACGGGAACACCACGCGGATGGAATCCACGTTCACTGACCTGCAAGAATATTTAATAAAGTGCTCTCTATGTGACAGTAATCTTTCAACTTAATAAAAAAAAGAGATTGAAAAGATTATGATCACTGTAAACCACACATGCGCGTGCTCAGATTCATATTTTAAAAAATTGCAATGGAAAAATACTGATAAAGTTTTGATAAAATTTTTGCGGGCTGTTCATCTCCCTCGTTCTTTCCTGAGATGATTTCAGAAATAAACATGGATAGTGCTAAACCATGCAGTGATCCATTGAAATCACGTTTACATGCAGCTTATAACAAATACTTGAACCAATATTATTTCACCGGGATTGTCAGTTACGCACTATTTTTAATTACTTTTTACGATACTAGGTGGTGTTGCGAAGTTCATGACACACAACTCGTATATTCAAATCCCTGTAGTATTAATATCTTTAAAACTTACCATACTTTATTCCAAGCCAACACGAAGCCTTCATTCGCCTTCCGTTCCACCCTGACCTCATGGTCATTCGTCGCTCGCTCCATGCAATATCCATCCACGGATATAATCTCGTCGCCATTGAGAACCATCTTCATCTGGACCCATATGATGGATAAGCCGGCCTCGTGATCGTAGGATATCGTCATGTCATCTAGATAACGGAAAAAGAATCTGATTATTTATTTATTTTAGGGCCTATTTTATCCCAAAAACATTTGCCTCGTCACCAATTCGTGAGAACATTATGGTTGTAACAGAGGTTCTTGCAGTAATTATGTTTACATTTACGTGAAAGTAAAGTTTTGGGCATATAAAAGAGCTACCTATCATCATCATCATCATTTCAGCCACAGGACGTTCACTGCTGAACATAGGCCTCCCCCAATGCCCTCTAAGTTGATCGATTGGCAGCGGCCTGCGTCCAGCGCTTCCCCGCTACCTTTACGATGTCGTCGGTCCACCTTTTAGGTGAACTTCCCACGCTAAAAGAGCTACCTATAGGCTTCACAAATTACTAGAACTACTAATAACTACTTCTCAAGTCGAAACTTACCGGTAGTAAACAGCATGTCGTTCTCCTTCGACAAATGCAGTCCCAAATTGGTCTCGCCCTTGAACGAGACTCTCCAATCCGACGCTCTCCCTTTCGTCTTCGTATCCACCGAAGACTCAGGAGAGGCGGTTTTCTTTCTCAGTTCCTGTCTAAATCCTTTGACAGCTCGCACTAAAGTCAGTATCTTAAGGTGCAAATTCGCGCTCCATTCGAACTCGACGGTTTCAATGAACTGGAAGTCTAGTAGTGAGGAGAAACGCTCCTTGGAAGGCACGTGTTCGATTCTGGCGAGACGCACGTGGAAGAAAGAGTTGAGGATCTCGTCGGATCTTTGGCAGAGGAAATTACCTGTGGGGAAAAAACAAAGTGTAATGAAACTTATAATAATTTCATGAGAAAATCCTTGTTAAATGTTTAACTTTGTGTCTAGCATAAGTAACTATTTAGGAAATCCTTTGGATAGAATTCAATAAGACACACAAAGTAATGACGTTATAGGAAAATTACACTGTAAGTACACTGAGTTCTTTAAAGTGTGGTTGCTGGTCAATTCTGGTTGCTTACCATAATAATAAGTTGGAAATGTTTGTCTACTCACCTTTATAAGGCACCATATCAACAGCCTTCAGCCCGCTCACGACCGCGCCAGACTTGCTGACTGTCTTCTCCAACGTCACGGCATCAACCCTCGTCATCAAGCACATGTTCTCATCAATAATAAAGAATAAGTTGATATGCGACAGCGCTACGTTCACGGCGATGTTGCACGGCGATTGGTCCGCTGATTCTGAGGCCACGCCCTCGGGCGAAGGGGGCGGGGCTTGGGTTACTTTGGTAGGCCGGTACTCGTTGAGGCAGTCCACGAGAGTGATTATGGTTTCTGCGATGGCTGTACTCCATTCGAGACGGAGACAGTCCATCATGGCTTCCACCTAGAAAGTGAAAAAATATAAATGTAAACATCAAAACAATTGGCCTTAAAACCAAAGTATGCAACTTTGAACTTCCTTTTAAACTTGAGTCTTAACTTCTATCTACGGTAAGGCGGTTATCACACTGCGCCGCGCTCCGCCGCGGAGCGCGTGATTTCATATAAAAAATCACGCACGCGGACGCGTTGTCAGTGTGAAGTGCCGCGCGTGTTTTCCATACAAACTGAGGTACTTGCATACAATTATTAAATCTGTCGCCCCGCGCTCCGCGACGGAGCGCGGCGCAGTGTGATAACCGCCTAAGAACGTGTTACCACTGGTCAAAAGTGTTCAACTGGCGTTGTTTGCCACTCTTCAAGGCATTTGAAATTAAGGCGACAAATTATTGTCAAGTATTGTGTACCTACCTTGGAGTCAATAGGCCCAGTCTCCGTCTACCACACAGCAGGCCACCGCTCATTAGTATGACTCGTCTAGATCACACTAGGACAGCACCTACCTTGGAGTCAGTGGGCCCGTGGCTGCCCCACTTGACCAGCGCCACTGCCAGCAGGGCGGAGCCCCAGGCGTGCTGCTTGCGCGGGGGCGGCGGCGCCGGGGCCCCGCCGGGGGCCGCCCAGTCTCCGTCTACCAAGCAGCGGGCCACCGCTCACTAATATGGCCCGTCTAGATCACACCAGGACAGCACCTACCTTGGAGTCAGTAGGCCCGTGGCTGCCCCACTTGACCAGCGCCACAGCCAGCAGGGCGGAGCCCAAGGCGTGCTACTTGCGCGGGGGCGCCCAGCCACCGACTACCACGCAGCGGACCACAGCTCATTAGTATGGCTCGTCTAGATCACACTAGGACAGCACCTACCTTGGAGTCAGTGGGCCCGTGGCTGCCCCACTTGACCAGCGCCACAGCCAGCAGGGCGGAGCCCCAGGCGTGCTGCTTGCGCGGGGGCGGCGGCGCCGGGGCCCCGCCGGGGGCCGCCCAGCCGCCGTCCACCAGCAGCTCGGCGCTCCAGTGCCGCCGCCCCACCACGCAGCGGGCCATCGCCCATTGGTACGGCTCGTCTGGGGAACAGACCGGTTGTTAGATAAGACATGTCCAAAATAGGATATAACTTTGCCTACTCAAACGTTAAAGGCCTATTCTGCGGCAGAGAAAACCCAGTGGGTATGCGGTAATAATACTGTTCAGACCTAAGCGGTATTCGCTACCGTCTGCGGCAGAGAAAACGCTCTAGCCGCGGTACTTGATACTAAATACCTGAGCGAAACCCGCACGGTATGTACCTCTACCCACAGCGGCAGCTAATATCGCTCAGGTTTGAAAAGGCCTTTAGAGTGTATTTTTATGCTTTTTATAATGTAGATGGCTGAAAAAACTGAACATGATACAATAACCACCTAAATGTAAACTTTTTCAAAAGCAAACAATTCCCCCTTATTTCGACCCGTCGGAATGTTTTGCTTTTGAACCCTTCCGTCTCCTCCCACGTCATTGATCCCTATAAAAACCCTGTAATAATCTTACCACATTTCTTAGTCGTCGTCTCTCCATGAAGAACAAATCGGTAGAATACTTCATACATGAAGACTCCTTATAACTACTGCGTACTGACCTCTAGTGTCCAGCAGCTGGTCTAGCTTGACCTTGACCCCTGCGCAGCCAAACGACAGGGCCTTATCCCTGGCCAGCTTGGTCAGGATTCGAACTCCGCGTACCTCTGCACACCCCTGTACCACGCATCGGCTCACCGCCCGCGAGAGAAGCGAGAAGCCTGACCATGCTACTACTGACCTCTAGTATCCAGCAGCTGGTCGAGTTTGACTTTGACCCCCGCGCAGCCAAAGGACAGGGCCTTATCCCTGGCCAGCTTGGTCAGGATTCGAACCCCGCGCACCTCTGCACAACCCTGCACCACGCATCCGCTCACCGCCCGCGACAGGAGCGAAGAACCTGACCATGCTATCAAGAAAATTAGGAATAAAAATATTAGTCTATACCAGGGATGTTATGGATATCCGTAACCGTAACCAAAACTTTCGGATATCCGAATAAAAAAGTATCCGAAACCGTAACCGTAACCGATTCAAAAGTTTTGAATAGTTTCGGGTGTAGGCAGTTTAAATTGTTTTTTGTATAGCATTATTATGTAAAGGCCTAGTAACTGAAACTTTCGGATATCCGAAATAAAAAAAATATCCGTAACCGTAACCTAAACCGGTATAATATTATTCCTATATCCATAACCGAAACTACATATCCATAACATCCCTCAATACCATCAGAAACATAAGTTAGTTAGATATTTCATGGCACAGCGTCAAATAAATCGACGCACCTTAAGTGACCAAAAATTTGATAACAAGACGTGTGGTAATCTTTTTGGCTTCTTTGGGTGTTATGTTTGTGGGATATGATGTTCGTCCACAATAAGGAAGCTAGATGTTAGTGCTTCCTTCCGAGCGGGTGTTATGCTCGGGGACCAAGGTCCAATTTTCACCATCTTGGTTTGCCTATTATATACTTGGCAGGATATAAAACTCCGTCACCGCGATGTAGGTTTGTATGAGCGGCGGCGTGTGCCATAGTGAAGTAGTAACCGATACCTTGGCATCCAATTGGACGAAACACTGTCATGGCATAAACAAATAGAACTCGTTTCCACTCGAACACGCAAATTGATCTGGATTTTCAAAAAGCTAAGAAACATCTTAAAACCTAATCTGCTAATAACAATTTACTACGCACTGGTACAATCCATCTTGAGCTACTGTATACCGGTGTGGGGTGGAGCATGCAAGACAAAATTAATAAAAGTGGAGCGCGCCCAAAGGTCTCTGCTAAAGGTAATGCTGCGCAAGCCCTACAGGTACCCAACTCAAAGCCTGTACGAGGAAACCAAAGTCTTAACCGTAAGACAACTATTTGTCCTGCATGCTACACTTCGCCAACACAGACACCTAACATACGACGCAAAAAATCTTAACACACGCACCCAGAAAATCTGCAAATCAAATAAATATAACACCGTATTCCTGCGACGACAGACATGCTTCNCAATATAAATAAAAATGAATTGATGTTCGTTAGTCTGATTAAAACTCGAGATTTCGAGAACGGCTGGGCCGATTGAGCTGATTTTGGTTTTAAAATGTTTGTCGTAGTCTAGGGTAGGTCTAAGCCGTGAGAAAATACGCGCGATATTGTTTTTCTGTGACAGACAAAATTCCACGCGGGCGAAAAGCTAGTAATTAATAAAATATTGGCGAATGTGCATCTACATATGTTTCGAAAATTACTTATGATGGCCCGCCTGCCACGAGTCTTTGCGTCGAGTATAGATATTTTATAGTACAGTCAGCGTCAAAACACTCAAAGTGACTTAAAATTTGATAACACACCCTTATTCCAGTTGTAACAAAGACGTGTGCTAACTGTTTGGCTACTTTGTGTGTTATGTTTATCGCTGTTATGACGCTATGGGCGTACTTTAATCAGTATCGCGGTAAATAATATTTTAAACAATATTAATTTTAGCACAATTCCAAAATAAGGAAAATCCATGCTTCTGTCTGGTTTAAACTAATGTATCACATACATTACAAGTAGTTAATAATAACCTTATACTGATTTGCTCTTGACAATGAACCTTGCAGAACTGACGTTATCAGTTTTATTTTATCAGAGCCGTTAATTTATGACGCTAATTCCTACACTCGTTAATTTGCCTCGCTAATTCCTAAGGTTTAAGGCGAAGTGTGCTAATATACAATGTTCCATGCAAGTAGAAGTTTTGCTTTAATATAAACTGAAAAATTATGTAATTTTTGCAGAAGAATAGAATAGAATAAGACTTTATTGAACACAGTAAGAACAATTTATAAACAAAAACAATACAACAAGTAAAAAAAAAATAGTGGGCTACGACTGCGCCATTAGGCCCACTCAGCATTTAGCTCGTAAAGGCATGTCAAGAAGCTGGTCTTCCGCGAAAGCCCCAGAAGGCGTTTATTTGGAAGCACTTTATTTATTTATATGAGCTTGACAAAAGGTTTCAGCTTGGATTAAATCAAAAAGTGGCCTAATACTTGTAATAATGTACTTACATTTATTTTCTTCTCTAAGGTGCAAAGGCTTCAATTGTTTCCTCTTGTTTAGGGACGAGTACCACTTGAAGACGTCACTGTGCTCGTACATAACATTCAGCGTGCTTATTATGAGGTATAAGTTCAGAACGCCTTTTTCCAGCTGGAAGTGAAAAATTAAAATATTTAAAACAAGTTATTTAGTCAGAAACATATTGGGTGGGATCCTATGCTTTATCATGTAAAAAAACAGCTATTCTAGTAGTTAAATTTCCCCTGAGACCTATCAGGTTGTAGACTTCACTGCCATCTGGCCTAGGGTTGTTCAAAAAGCAACAAGAATGGGATATTTCTAGCCATCACAAAAATCTAAAAAAAATCTGGGTAGGTAGCTAATTCTTCACTATCAACTGGTAAAAAAATAATTTAGCTTTGCGTTTAAGAATTTCATTCACGGGCAGCGAGCGCTGAGGCGGGAATGCGAGCGAGCCTCTAGCCTGAGGCGGAGCTGCGGACGGACGAACGTCCGAGCTAGGACAATAACTCGAGGCTCCATTTCTTTGGGCTCCAGCGGAGACCGTCGGGTTTTAGTGGGTAGGTCAATATACTATTTCCCAAATAGCCCTATCTCTTGCTTCAAAGATTCAGAGACAACATACCTTAGCGTCAAGTTTGAGCTTGTTCAGCGATGCGAGTGTCTCGCCAGCCGCTGTGAGCTGGTACTGGTCGGCCTGGAACGCCACGTACACCTGGGGAAGCCCTGCGGCCTCCGCCCCGTTAGCGAGGCGGCGCTGAAGCGGGAATTCACCGCCGCGTCACGCATACGCATACGGTCGGCTTGGAACAGACAGTAACCCGCTACGGCGGGGGGTCCTCTTGTACCAGGGCCACGAGGAGAAAACCTCTATAAAAACAACTGGAGGAGGGGATTGTGGGTTCCATCGAAGTCGGAGAGGCTCGTTTGTAAGCGAGGCTCTAGCCTGAGGCGGAGCTGCGGACGAATGTCCGAGCTAGGACAATAGCTCGCGGTTCCGTTTCTTTGGGCTCCGATGGACACCGTCAATAAGAGGTGGGAAATAGTTCAAATAGTCCTGTCTCCTGCTTCAATGGTTCAGACATAGCATACCTTAGCGTCAAGTTTGAGCTTGTTCAGCGACGCGAGCGTCTCGCCAGCCGCCGTCAGCTGGTACTGGTCGGCCTGGAACGCCACGTACACCTGGGGAAGCCCCGCAGTCTCGGCCCCGTTAGCGTCTACCATCACCGAAGCGGCGCTGAAGCGGGAGTTCACCTGAAAGTAACTTGACTCATAGTGGGAAGGAAAATACTTTTAACAAAACACATTTAGATTTTTGGGTTTTATGGGTAGGTTTTCTTATTCGTCGCTATACTCTCAGCAGAGTGGTCATGGTAGTCACACCTGGTTTGGTGGCAAGCTTCACAATCTGTCGCCATTCCGCCCGCATTGCAGCCTTTTTTGTACACTCGTGGAGTGTACAAGATAGGCAAGGCTGCAACTCATGGGCGACCTGCCGCGCGCTCTTGTGCTTTCAACCTTCCCCTGCACGACAAGTCGCTCAACAGTTTTGTCGTTTCCACGTGTGATAATGGCCAAAGTTATGGGTAATAGATTTATGAATAGCTATTTGGAAGTTCTCTTGACGCAATCTATCCTTTACTAGTTGAAATGGTTTCATAAATGTAAATAATACTATTAATTTGACACTATACTTACTTGTAAACTTTGTAAGGACATCTGAAATATTGTTTTCGTGACGTCATCTACACAGCCCAGTGTCGTGTGGTCTGCTTTTAAACTAAATATCTGTAACATAGATAAAAAATACTTCATGTTTCTGAAACTTTTAGAAATGTCTTAATTTTGAATTATCCTTCCTTTTTAGCCTATTACCTTTGGTATTACTGGTGATAATCTTGGAATGATGGTGGCGATGTGGTCCTCACTGATGATGTCTGGCCTCACACTGGCTGGTTTGTGTTTTTTGTGCTTTTGTAAGAAGTTATACAGCTCATCTTCTAATGACACATACATGGTACTTATTGCAGCATGTATTTTCTGAAAGTCAATTATAATGTAAAGATGTATCTGAAGGTTCAATTTTAATAAACTGTTTATTAAAAATGTTGGGTTTACCTCATGCCACCTAAAAACACTTTCTAATTAATCTGAAGTTTACTCTAAATTTTGAAACTTAAAAGAAAACTGCAGTTAGAATAAGTGCATTTAGCTACTTACCTCAACATTTAGAGGTCCATCTGCCTTCACAGTGCCCTCAACCAACAGACTACACCCAGCGTGTCCTAAACAGTGGTTGTCTTTGAACATCCTGGCTTGGACGTCTACCAGGTTGGCGGAGAACACCAGAGCTCTTGCTGGGCCGCCTGCTGCACCGTCCGCATGCACTTCAGACGCAGTCATTTGGATGGAACCGTTGGGTGCGATACTGTTACGTATTGTCACTGATGCATCGAATATGTGGACACCCATAAACTGAAATAATTGAATGAAATTTTATTCACACAAATCATAAATGATAGAAAATTCTAGTGGATAAAACTAACAGTGCCATTACTTTCATTGAACACATAAAATAAGTGTTCTAAAACTGTTACACATTTTTAAAAACCTACTTATAACAAACATGTTCAAATATAACAAACCTGTGCAAACATTATCAAACTGTGAGGTAATTTCTTGTCTCTAAAATCTAGCAACTCCTGATTAGCTGCTCTGCTTAAGTCAGCACTTAAAGAGTCCAGGTTTGTTCCTACATCGTACCCTCTTTCAGACCTTGAGAGAGAGTTCTGTTTAGAAAGTAGGGGCTTCAAAATGGTCTCCACAACCACGCTACGCTTCTCTTCTACCTTATTGGTGATCTCTACACCCTTGATCACCACCCAAACCAGCTTGTTTATCTCCGAATTGAAGAAACTGCTCCGGAATGATATTTCATCTATGTGCTGCAAGTATGTTAAGGTTTTTTTAGTGTTGACATAGCTTACGAGTAAGTAAAGATATTATTTCTTATAAGAGCATCTAATGAAGTGAAAAAATATTTTATTTAGTTACTTATGAGCATCATATACAGTTAATAACGGTACTCCAACTTACTACAAAGTATCTATCCTTCGACAGACTGACGTCTTTCAGGATCAGTTTCAATACCGCGATTCTGCCTATTTTTAGTTTTATATGGTATTTTCTCTTGAACAGCCATGACAACAAAGTTGGTAAGAGCCTAAAAATATACAGAACGAAAATAAATTGTAAACAAAACAAAAACAATAACAGAAAATAGCGACGTCACCTTGTTGGTGAATACTAACCATGAAACGCAGGAGTAAATAGCCACAAAAATGAAACCTAATATCAGTAGAGCATTCATCTTGAGATAATTATAACATCTCGTTTATTTCCGAAGAGATCTCAAGCGAATTTCCAGATAATAATTCCATAAAACTGTCCACGATAACCTCGACACTCCACAACTTTAATGAACTGTCAAATAAATGTCAATGTCAATAGCATTACCAACTGACAACTCTCTATTCGTTCAGAAATCGACATGATATTTATTTAGGAGTTTGTAATAAACCATCTGGTCCCAGCTCCCGACTCCCACCTGGCCTGCGTTGCGAATGCTCGGGCTCTACGCCTTTGGTCCATGAGAAAGCCGCTTCGTTTCTACAAAAAGGATGAAGGACATTAACAAACTCTTAAGGGGATCATCTGACCATGATCACATAAGTATATATGAATATCCCTTCCCATATGCCTCAAACTTGGAGCATTATCCTCAGAGGACTGAAGCCTCAACAGTTCAACCTCGTTCTCCTGAACGACGTGGCCATACTTTATGGGCCATGGGGAAAGTTATTGCGGGCGCAGGTATCGTCATTGTCACGAAATAAGACTTTTTAACCTTAAAATCATTAAATAGAGTTAAGCCAGGTCCAGACGTACGACATACTATTAAATTAAGATATTAATACGTGTACAATAACACGAACATGTCCACAATATCATTTGAGAAATAAAAATAAATTAAAAATACCAACCATCCGCCTAAATTTATCTTCTTCAAGCACCTACAATATGGCCATAAAAATATATAACAAATTGCCCGATCATTTATTAAAAGAAAATAATAATAGTACATTCATAACAGGACTAAAAGAGCTATTAACTACGAAATGCTATTACACCATAAAAGAATATCTAGACGATAAAATTAATTAACGATGTACCTAACTAAACTATAACTTTCTATCTATAAAAAGAAGCCTCCTCTCCTTAGATTTTAAGTTTGCAGCGCCCAACAGGGTCCTTATGATCTCCAAATATATGTAACACCTAAATGTACTTAAGGAAGCAATAAACATATTGAGTATTGAGTATTGAGTATTGAATTCTACGTATGGACGGCACTACGAGCATTACTTGTAAAGTACTACCTGTACTACCCATACTATTTCCATTACACGATAAATTACATTACGTGTTACACCCGTCTGGACCCGGCTTTACACTCTGCTTACAAAGCATAGAGAAAAGTAATACATTACAAAGCTAGCTTGGCTTTCTAATAGTGTTCTGTTTTCTATAAACTTTAATTTACAGGTGTAAAGATAGCCTGAACAAAACAAACATATTTTCAGTTCACATAATTTATTTTCATCTATAACTAAACATCTATTTACAAAACTGTGTTATCAAGGCCAAGACCTCTTGGCAGCATATCCTTCATACTTCTTCCTGTATTTCAGACCTGTCACAATGGTGGAACTCTTCGGAAATGCTGACAAACCATTAAACATGGTGTCTTTATCTGAAACAAAAACATATTTTTTTCATTTTAATAAATCCATGACAAACTATCACAATGCAAACGAAGCTGTTTATGAGGCAAAAATACTGACGATCGTAAAAACATTACTGTTACAGTACCTACTTAGTGTACAATATTTATTTATTTATAGTGATATTACTCACCAGGGTGGAAGCGTACATAATCTTCTTGTACATAAAGGTTCTTGGGCAGTTCCATTTTCTTAAGTGCATCAAATGGAGTTACAACATCTACTGGTGTTCTATAAAATTCTTTTAGGTCATCTGAAAAATAACAATATTGGAACTGTATAATGTAGAAATCCAATTAGTAACCCATTAGAGCAGTTTAAGTTGGATCTGGAGTCTGAAGATATTAATTCATATTTACTATGTATTTCAATATGAATATGAATTTATTAGTAGTATAGAAAAATCCTAACATTCTATAATAAATGTTAAATTTTTGTCTGCAAAAAAGATTTTAAATAAAATAAAACTCACCAACAGTTTCAATTGTGTGCAATAAGGAGTTTGGCACGCTATGGCCAGTTTCTTTGAAGCAGGCGTTGAGTACCACAAACTTGGTATCAAGTCCCTCAAATTCGCCTTCAGGTTTCAAACCGTTGTCTGCACATATCTTCAGGATTGTATTCTCGATGTTGGCTGGAGGATCCCATGGTTTGTTTGGCCGTAAGAAACTGAAGCATAGATATTATATTACAATTTAGCTTTATTAATTTTATGGTAAATATTGATAAAAGTGAAGAAATTACCCTCTAGCAGCTAAGGACTCAGCGGCTGCCTGGAGTTTTTTGTCAATTTTTGGCACCTTTTTCTTCTTATATCTGACGCACATCACCTGAAAATATATTAATGGTAGGTTTGTATTTGCTATGAATAACAGCCATAGGTAAAAATAAAATATTTTCAGGTTTTAATTTTAACTTTATATAAAATTATAACCAAACCTAACCTGAAAGTTGGTGCGTAATGACGGCAGTATCACGTTTCTAAGCATTTCACAGTTATTTGTTTTCTAATGATGATCTATGATGCGATAATTAGCAAGTTTTTCTGCGTAATTAATTAAGTTTTTCCACAATATTTTTGTGTTTTTCCATTGAAAATAGATGCTGTGAATAGATGTCATTTCTTGATAAAGTATGGCGTTCCGTATAACGTAGATTAGTAATAAATTTATTTAATTTTCGGGAATAACATACATCAAGTATAATTAATTGTGAAAATACGTGTGATTTAAGGTAATTTTAGTATAATTTTTTATATTTCTTGAAATTTGGAAATTTATTTGATACATTTTAGGAAAACCCCGCGAATATAATTTGAAGACGTGAAATGGAGCGACGTAAATTTCTGAACGAATTTAGTTCCCAACTATGCCGCTGTGCGCAGCACTGTCGGCTTGGGTTGTTGTTTCCTATCCGCCATCTTCCAGTCGCCATTGAAAGGTGAAAACTACGCTAAATGTCGGTGATGATTTTAAGATTTTGAGTGGTTTCTTTAAGATTGAACCTGTTTTTAGTGTTGTGAAATGAAAATGAAGTGTCCAGGACTACCATGACGCATCAAAATCACCAAACAAACGGTGCAAGTCTCGAGGATTGCCACACAAACTTCTTCGCCTTGGTAAGTCACTTTTACATTGATGAAAGAACTCGTATGTACTTTTCTTTCGAAATCAGTATGATTTACGTGATATCAGTATTGTGCGTTGTTATTCTGTGAGGTCATATCATACGTTTTGGAATTCCTAAATAACTAGTCCACGATGTCTAAGTAGACGTTCCGATTCTCTCATCATCGGACGCTGATACACAAAATTTACCTTATTGCGTTACGGCAAGCGCATCGATCTATTGCGTTAAATTTTTTGTATGGATCAATTTATGTTTAGTCGAGTAATGACGCTCGACCGTTAGTCATCCTGGCATCGTTCTCACCACAGAACAGAGGCATGTTGCGTTGCTAACCCACAAAATGTCAACGCTTTCGGCGAGCGAGGCCACAAGAAGCCACCGGCCCATAGAGGTCATTTTGAATTCACCTGGCCGTAACGCGGACCGTAATGCGTTAGCGAGACTAGTTTCGCCAGCTCGAGGAAATAACTTTCTTGATACATTTTGTGAGGCTACGCTCTCGTCTCGGTGTCATGGAAAATGTTTACGCGGGAGCATGCAAAGAAACAGTCGGGGTCATTCATTATCGCAGTGTTGTAGTGTGGAGCCGCTTTGCGTAATGTTCATAGCTGGCGCGAATTTTATCAGATTGTGTTCGGGTGAGGATTAGCGGGTGTGTGGGGCGGGTGGCGGGGGGTGCCGGGGCGGTCGGTCGTCCTCGCAGAACAACTCGGCGCCACTTCCACCTGACGTGTTGCCACATCTCGCCGGCGCGCGCTGCACCGCCCGTCGCTCGCCCGCTCTGCTCCGCCTATCTCGCCGCGATACAAATTACCGATTTCTTGCCCTGCTTATTGTCTAATTATTTATGCGTCGTTTGCGGACACCGCCGCTTTTGTCCTCAGGAATTTTCTCGCCCGTAGCGGTGACGCATCGGGTGCTAGCTCGTCACTGCGAGAGTTCAATACACTCGCGACTTTGATTGTATTTGGAAACATCGAAGAGCATTGTTTTTACATAACATTTCGCTCAAGGGGCTATGATCTGGAGTGGCGGTTAGTTTGAGTCGTTGGTATGTGCGGCGACATCTGTGAAGTCGCGGGGTCGCGCGCTGCCGGCTGCGCAGGCGTCTTGCGCTCATTCAACCGTTTATGAATGGTCGTAATGATTGTAACTTTCCCATAAGCGGGCCTCCGCCCAGGCCCCAATTGCGTGCACCGAGATTGGTTGGCATACTTGTCTTTGTTCTGCTAGTACTTTGTCATACTACTTGCGAGTTATTGTTCTGTTACGCAGGTTTTAATTTCAACGTCACGGCATATCCGTTGTAATAATAAATGTGCCTTGCTCAATCAGAAGGCGAGTTTCCCAGTTCAAATAGGATGTTTTGGAAAACATAAACATTGCAGTGACCTAAGGTCATTGAACTTTATCATCCGAATATGATATTTTGCGAATTGTGGCAAAGTATTTCAAACGACTCATTTGCCATCAGTTAAACAGACACGCCTAGTCTTCGCCACTGTCAATGGTCTCTCAAAATTCACGTGTAAATTATTCATGGCTGGCATGGGTCGTCGGAATCCACCCCTTATCGCCCTCCCTATGCACACGAACCATGCCCAATCTTGTTCTGAATGCTTTCTTCTTAACCCCGTTTCCGATTTCCACCTTTTAATAAAGATTTCCTATCAGTTGCGTACTTTTATTGCTTTATTATTATCAACTTTAAAAGAGAACCTTCTTGATGACTCAAGGGTATACAATGAGGTAAAATGCGTACTGGAAACCTTTATTTAACGCGACAATAATCTACACGATAACACTTATAAGGTTACGAATGTTTCCGTATTTTTAAACCGTAGTGCACCGCCTAAAACTCGAATCAAAACCAGTAATTCCAAGATTTTAATAGTATGCTCAATTTATTTGTTGACCTACTGAGTGCGCGTACCTATTTGCACATTATCGGTTGAATGTTTTCTTTATTTTTCGATAAGTCCATAATGTTTTGTCAGTTTAACCACAGTTTACTGACTGAAAACATCTGGCCCATAGTTATTTCGTTGTAACCAGATGCTGAAGCACTGCAAAGTAAATAAACAGGCAATTATGTTCAAGAGAAGATTGCTCTCGGTGGCTCGGTGCGCCTGCGCAGCCAAGGTCGCCGCAAAAACTACCTGGCTACGGATCTGTGTATTCTGTTACCTGACTGACACCAGACATCATAAACAAATACCAACTCTATTGCAATGTCAAAAAGTCTATTACGTGTTAGTTTAACACAAGACGACTAATGACCTCCTTGTTAAATACCCTACTAGTGTTTATGGGTCGCTAAAGTCATTTGGTAATGCCCAATGAGTGCTACAGAGAACACACGATAACACAGTAAATTGTGTTCTTTAACGAACGAAAATAACGCAAACAAATTAAACTGTAATGTAAGAAAAGTATCCAAATTACACAACATTATGTTGTGTGGTCGTCTTTCGACTTGTCGGTTATCACCACGTTATCAAAGTCTCATTGAAAACTATGTTTGTCACACTACTCGGATTCTTTGATTTAGGATACAAAAATAATATTGAAAAATAATAACAGTAAAGCAACAAATAGGAAATTGGCGAATATGTATTTAATGTTTCCATTACTCCCAAATTGAAGTTATCGGTCTGATAACGCATTGTTATTAGTACAGATACGAATACAGAAGCACGTGACTCGCACGTTTGTGCCGATGTATTTGTTACGTTCAGGTGTACTGTTGAACGGCACAATAGATATTGTTCCTGAAACCGTTTTGAATGTAACGTTGTTTATTTCGCGGTTTTCATGGCGTCTGATTGTTTGCCGCGGGAGCCGCGTCACGGCGCTATCGCGGCTGATAAGAGCAGCCGCGGCGGTGGCGTTATCACCGCTTCTTTATTATTATTTGTTGCGCTGCTCGCACATGTGTTTAACACCAACCATATGATCCTAATGCGCTCAAATACTGTGAAATGGAATGCAAATGGCCAAATGTACGAGGGAAGTATTTGCCACGAAATAATGAACATCTTATGAACGCATTTTCAAGAATCCGATAAGTTTTGATGTCCTTGAATTGAGGTGGATATTTATAGTAGATAATATTAAATCCACTTTGTATTCTATAAAAAAAACTAAAACCTGATTTTCATAATTATTCTCAAAGCTTTGACTTTATTTATTATAAGTGGAAAAATACAAACTTTATTCATGTCATGACACATGTTAAGTCAGATATGGAGCATTAATACGTCATGCGAACCAGTATTCACTTACGTAAGAGACAAACAAGGAAACAAATTTTAAACTAACTTGCAGACGAGTTCAAATGAATGTGAATAAATTTGAAGCTGCAAGTCACTTACATACGATCCATTAGTTTTACTACGAATACTATTGGAGTAAAAAAAACATAATTTACTTTACATTTTTGTAGCTTAATCTCCATCTCAAGGTTCCTTTCGAAGTCCTTGATGGTGGGAGTCCTCGATCCTCGGCGCCCTTCGCCTCAATACGCTAAGTACACATTCGGTCTCGTATTGCTTGTACCACTCCTTGTATCATTATAAATCTTCTACAAAGTTGTGATAAACCGAGCTTTAAATGTTGATGATATTTTAAATTTTGTCTGATAGCAGTGAAGTTGATTTACTTGATTTCATTGGCTATTAGCACGTCTGACGTCATGATTGCCATAATGTGACAGTGCGCAGTAAACTTTCCTTGTTATAAAATCTATTAATGTTTAACCCGAGATATAAACAGCCAAGTAATAGGTGACGTCAGCACCGAGTTCACCCGTAACATTGTTACTCAATGCGGCCCGAGAAACATGCAAGTTGTCCTTTCCTCTTGTTTTATTACGAACACATTGTAGGTCAAGGCTCTGTTTTGATGTACTGATGTCTGGGAAAACNGGGGAAACATTGTCGTGCTCTTATTTGGTCTTCACATCGCACTGAACACCGCCCTAATTAATGTCACCGACACACTTTTGAGAATCCTTATTTTAACTCCAATAAGATTCTGTCCTGCGAATATTCGTCATACTTCCGAATGAGCCCATTTTCAGCGATGACTAAAGCTGTAGAATTGCCCTGAAATTGAAAATCGATCTGTGCTATTTTTATTTCAATATCATTTGTCGTCGTTTTAATGTGACCTACTCGTATAGATTAAAAAGGCAAGGACGACTCACATGCTGCTTTTCGCGTTATCATGAACAAGCACTCGATTCTTGCTGGCTGACCCAATATTTTTATATTTTTGCTGCCGTGTTTGGAGGTTGTTTCATCATCATCATCATCATCATCATCATTTCAGCCACAGGACGTCCACTGCTGAACATAGGCCTCCCCCAATGCTTTCCATGTTGATCGATTGGTAGCGGCCTGATTTGGAGGTTGTTTAGCAGCCAGTTTTTAGTCTTGGGGGTGTATTGGTTTTTGCGTCCCTTAAAAAGTATGTCCAATTAAATTCCAATTAAGTTCTTCCGCTAGATTAGCGCCGCGGTGTGGCCGCGACCGCGGTCGCAGTATGTGGGTCAAGACAACGAAGAGTGGGCACCTCGCCCCCGCGCCTCCCCTCTCGATCTACGATCTCGCATCTTCATCCAACCCGCCTTTCCTTTTGATATTCTGTACAAACAAACACTCGTATCAAAGAGTCTTGCTTCATACTGTTCATACACTCTTCCGCTAATCACACCAGTTGTCTGTGCCACTTATTTTAAGATCTCAATGCCGTAGATAATTTTTATGATGCTCCACAAAACTTGAGAAGTTAAAGCCGATTGTGATCTCCATATTTCGAAATATACTGTATGTGTAGAGACTGAAATGTTGAGATTTGCTTTGTAAACAAGAAATAACCTAAATGTAAACATGCCAATAAGGCAGGCATGCATTTAGAAGCGTAGACATTTCCATACAAGTAATTTGNGCCATAGGAACTCCTAACCGAAACGGCAGAAACTTATAG